AAGTTGGAAATAAATTTTTTTTACAAGTTTTCACGCTTAAAAAAATTGAAAAAAGGATTTTAAGTATCGGCACGTGCTCTCACGTGACTTGTTTCTGACAAAAATTGAAGAAAACCCATCAATTATCTACTTTCGAGCAAAATTGGATAGATTGGAGACCACATTTGTTCTCAAAAATAGATTGGGGACTAGTTTCACACATTGGTTATAAATTGGGGACCAAAACTCCAATTCTCCCTTTTTAAAATATTTGACGCAGTAAATTACTTCATGCTTAAGATGGGAGACTAACAACCATTTCTTGGAAATGAAAAGGGCCGAACAGATAGCAATTACTAATCTGCACTGCAAGGCATAAGAGAAGCAAGTAATGTGGCAGCAAAGCTTTGGACTATATTGTTGGGCCTCAAGATGGCATGGGAAGGGGGACACAAAAAGGTGATGAAAGAGTCAGATTCTCAAGTGGCTATTATACATGATGACTCAGAGGATGGCCAGTACAGCAACTTCATTAAAGAGATTAGGCTGATGCTTAACAGACAATAAGGCTACGATTCAAGCATGCTTATGAAAGGGCAACAACTGTGTAGATCATTTAGCAAAGTTGTGGAAAAGTCTTGCTCCAAGAATAACCAAATTCATAGACCCTCAACAATTGCTTAGACAACTTCTAAGCCAAGATATTTTGTGGAGTGTCAATGCGTAGATTAGCCAATATGTAACTCTGGCCCTCTTATGTACCAAAAAAAAAAAAAAAAGAAATGAAAGGGAGCATTATAGTTAGAAGTGTCAATTGGGCCTTTTGATCCGAGTTTCAACAAACCTAAACTTGACTCACAAGTTATATGGATTTTCGAACTACGGGATTTTGGGCTTCAGACTCATATTAAAAAGGCTCAAAATCAACTCACACTATTATATGAGCTTCGGATTCAAATCGGATTTGGTCCAAACTCATAATTAAATACATTATTTTATAAAATATATATTTTATAATTATGAATTAATACAAATTTACATATAAATTATTAACATTTTAATATGTACTAGCATTCAAGGCATGCACTAATGTGTGTGCAACTAATAGAAAAATATTTGGAAAATATTTTGAGTATATTTGTTGAAATCATTTTCAAGAAAATTGGTTTTAAAATTGAAAAATGCATTTGTAAAAAATTCACCAAAATAAAACTTATAAAAAGTAGTTATTTGGTAGTTATTTATAATCATAATTGGTAGTTGCTAATTAAAATTAAGATTTACTAAATAAAATGAAAAATAGAATATGAAAAAATACATATTACTTGGTAAAAAAATCATATTGGTAATGGGTAGTCATCAAAGATAGATAGATTTTTGTGTGTACTAAAAGTTTATTCATCATCAAATATAGTTTATGAAGTATATAAAGTAATAGGTTTATGTTTACTTCAAACCCCCTTCTTTCCCTTTATATATAGTATAGATAATTATAAACTATAGATATTTATTATATATATTTTATATAAATAATTGCACTCATATATGGATCGGGTTTTAATCGGAGTTGAATCTATTACGGTTCAAACTCGACTCACATTTAGTTGGGACCTAATATTTGGACCCAAACTCTGTTCGGCCCAATTAGAACATAGTCTTAGTGACTTTTTTTAGGACCAAACGGGCTTAGCTCAAACTAACCCAACCATATTGACAGCCCTAATTATAGCAAATTCATAAAAGGGAGCTTATGAAACCTTTTTGTCCTTCTTACATTACTATCCATCCGAAGGTAATAATTACGATGTATGTATATAGATTCAAACTCACCTTCTTCAAAACTTATTAGTAACTATTTTAAATCATTAAAGATTCACCAATAAATGGCACATGCTTGGTAGCAGTGAATGTAAGGAAAGTGATAACTCATTGAAAAATTTACTATTAAATGACACACGTTTGATAGTTGCAGAATACAAGGAAAGTAGTAACCCATTGAAAGATTTATTATTGAATGACATGACATGTTCGATCATACCAATAGAATAAAAGAAAAGTAGTAGTATAATTGAACCACACATGTTTAATGTCGGATACAAGAAATGTAGTAGTAACCAGTTGTCCAGTTCAAACAAACATCACAAATGGCATTCATGCCGACATGCAAAACTTAAACGCCTATTTATGCTTTCACACTTAACCCTTTCAATCAAGGTGCGACCCCTCATTTTTAACACTGGATTTTTGCTGATGATGGCAAATTTATCTGGAGGTGCAAAAAATGCATGTACAGTGGGAAATAATATGCCTCACTCGTTCCATTTCAAGCCATTTTGTTGGCTGCAATTTAATGACTACAATAACGCAAAAAATTGAGTCACATCACTTTTACAACGTAATATATAAAATTCTATAAAATAATCCAATAAATAATAAAATATATTATAAGCTGCATAATCGATGCTTAGATGTCGTCTGTCTTTCATCGGCCAATTCAAAATTTGAATGGTTCAAAATGCGCAAATGAAGAAAAAGTCCTATAACTATTTGAATTTTATTTTGACAAGTGTCCAAAACACTTGTTGAGATACATAAATCATAATCAAATTATTATGTGAATACACATACTCATATTGATTATCTTTCATAGGGTTGTATATGATCTGAACTACTCACTAATAGCTCGACTAACAGTTCGACTCGAGTTTGAATTGATTAAGCTCCAGTTGAGCTTGAGCTACTCGAACCAACAAACAAGTTCGAGTTCGAGTCGTGGAGGCTTGAGCTCAGTATTTTTATTTTTACCTTTCTATATATTATTTATTATGAATTTACTCTTTTACCCTTACAAGTTATAAAATTTACAACATACACCTACTATCAATGGAATATTTGAGGGGTGATTACGACCTTTCATAATTAAACAAAAAAAAAAAGAAAAGTTAAAACCATTTACCAGAATATTTTTTCTTTCCCCAAACCCCAATTCCTTTTCTTCAATTTGCCCTAATGCTTCACTGAGTCCAAGATCGAGACATCCTCGCCCTTCACTTCTTCTTCTTCACTTTGCAATTTGCGAATGCCAATAACATTGTGAAATGTGATTTCATCCGATGACTTCTATCTTAGGCCGTGATGCGACCATACTAAAGTTGAACTGAGCGATCGATAAGCTGAGAGGTTGAGACGATACACAAGCTTTATTGAAACTCAGAGTTGGTCTGTGGCAGCTAAAATCTAGCTTGAAAGATGCAAAATTACTCTACTTCTTCAACCAACTATTCAATTACAAGGGCAATTGTGGCATCGGTATCGACATCGGCAGAGGCGACAGGACTTGGTAAGCAGATATGGTTTGAACTTCTCTTATTCTTGTTATCAGAAGTTTGTCTTGAAAATACGTTTGATTTGGTAAGCAAATATGGCATGTCAGGATGGATTTTATGCTGGATAAATTACTAGAAATGGTTTGGATTTACAGGTTGTTTGATTCTGGAATCCAGTGAATAGAGAAAGATTTTTCAAACTTGCTCTCAGGCTTGAACTCGAGTACGCGAGCTCGAATAGGCTTGCAAAAAATTTGAACCTAGTCGAGTAGAGCTTGACCATATACGATACTCTTATGAGTCGAGCTGAACTATAATTTATTTGCTCGGTCAAACTTAATTTCAAGCAGCACTTATAACCATCGAGTTCGAGTTTGAGTATGGTGCTACTCGAATTTGACTCGAGTCGTATGCATTTCCAGTCTCCCGTTAGCCAAATCCTAACTATTTAATTAAAATTAAAATGATACATCAACCACAATATTAGTCAATCTAATCTTCTAACTAAGGGTGTGCTTGATAAAATTGAAATCTAAAACTTAAATCTGAAATCTAAAGCATGAATCGATTAACTTATTGAATTGTTAAGTACTAAATCTGATATATTTAAATATAGGGAGAATTGCACTAGTCATCTCCCACATATCGCTGATGTGAAAATTTAGTCTATTAGAATCAAAATGAGCGATTTTAATTCCTAACAAATAAAAAGCGCTAACCTTTCGTCCTCCTGTCACCTTTCCGATCAAATTTTGGTCAGAAGAAGTCACGTGCAAATCACATGATTAATATGTAAGGGCAAATCTGGCAATTCCCTTCAATATTTATCCAAATATTTAAATAAAATGAGATCCTATTTTTGTCATCAAATGAAGCAGATATTTGCCATTTCTTAAAAGTTCATCTGGATCAGCTATTGCTTGGATGCCACTAATTGATTGCCACGTGTGCACCTTGTAATGCAAGATAGAAATTTAACAAAAAAAAAAGGGTTTCTTCTCTTCCTTGCACGGCTGCACAATCAAAGTCCCACTTTCCTTTTCATGGCTCAAGTTTTCTGATTCAACCCATCGCATTACATTTTCTTCTTCTTTCACCTCATCTGCTTCTCTTTCATAACTCCATCCTTCCACACCAAGCTTCCCACTACCTCAGCTCCAATCATGGCGGCAAGTCAACAAGTTTCTCCATGAATCCGTCAATGCCTCAGAATTAAAACAAATTACATTATTCGATAGCCCCAGAATTAAGGTTTCTTTCTGATTTGCTCCCTAAATTCAACCCACCCCTCTTGGTAGGATCTCTAATTCAAAGTAGAGAAAAGGAAAAAAGAACTCCAAACAGCCCTTCCAATCTCTGGCAGTGTTTGGAAAGCATAATTGGTGGGTTATTTGAAATTTTAAGAAATTAGCGTTTGTACTGTGTAAATAAAAGTGGTAGGGTAATTTACTGTAGAGTTCCGACATTGGATTCCTTAGGTGCAGCCTTTTGCACTAAAGTCATGCAAAAATTCATTCCTTCACGTGGCAACTGCATTTTGACGGAAACCTGCAAAAAAAATAACCGTTGGTTGAGGAGTAAAGCCACAGTAAAGGCATTTACTCCTGAACACAGCACAAAGGCTAGAAGTGCTCCTTTATTCGGGCCTCTCTTCGCCATTTTCATCTACCAACAGACGGGAAAGACAGCTGCAATCAAACCTAGCTTGCAGAGACGTCCGGCAAACAAGATCCTTGACTGAAGTTTTGAATCTATCGGACGCATTTCACCCTGCCGCGGTCGACGCTTCCAACACCCAAACGGAATTTCTTGCTCCGAGCCCATTCCACTTTCTCCCTATCTACAGCGGCAGGTACAATTCCCTCGATTTTCTGGATTTAGCTGCAATTTACATTCCATAAACCTGCGTTGATCTGTCTTTCTAGTTGTCCACGGCTTCATCAGCTGATTATCTCCCTTGGACACCTGATTTTGTGTTGGCTGTGTGCGAAGAGTAGATTTCGTTTATGGTAGATTAAAATGTACTTAGGATTAATTGAACCCGAATCTGAATGAATGGTGGAATAAAGCTGCTCTGGCCTTTCAAATTGGGAGGTTATGAGCATTAAAACTGGATTAACTGGATATATTGCAAGCAGGGAGATTTATTGTCTTTGGGCTTTTTTCTTATCATGGAAAGAAAATTTAATGGGGAAAATAAAATCTGTCCTGAATTTATTAGGAGGATAAGTCGATGTTAGAAGTTAATTTTGCTTTGGAATATGTCAATTTAAGCAGGTGAAATAATTGATGGTGGACAGAAGTAAAATATATTATGACCCTTAAAAAAATAAATTCATCACCCTTAAAAAAAATAATTGAAGTAAAATATATTCTACAATTACGTAAATTAAAGATGGACAGAAGTTGTTTAATAAAGTTTTACCAAAAAATACAAGGGATTTTCACTGCTTAATTGCATTGGCCTTTGGCAATCAGTTTTCTTTTTTTCCATGGTTTCTTTTGCTTTCTTTCCAATTAAAAAGGTTTGCCTCATAACGCACAAGGATTGGACAAGTGTGATAGGAAACATAAAAGCAAAATATACCGGTCTGCTGTAAAATTTATAAAGTATTTAAAGTTAAATGTGGGTGGCGTCTGGATGCCCAAGGCAGTAATATGCAAAATATTACTGATAATGAGCCAACGAGTCCCTGGATTAATACTTTGAAGTTAGCAGCAAGTTACTTGTCCTTGGCATTGATCATGTTTATTATTGAATAATAAACTCATACTTTAACGTAGTATAAGTTGTTTAATGGGATGCTATAAAATAAGTCATAACTCAGACAGTATATGAAGGAAAAGAAAAAATGGTTTTGAAGAAGAATTAAAATTGGACATATACTTGACAACAAAAGTTTACATGAGCAGCCCAGAGAAAAGGATCTTTACATTTTGAGTCTGACCCAGAACCAAAGGAAAATAAAAGGACTAAGATTTGTGCCTTTTCAACAAAGAAATTGTATCAGATTATACGGAATACATAATCCTGCACAGTTATAGATGCTTGAATTCATAACTTTTGGTTCTGTTGTAAGTCTCATTTGATGAGGTTAGATACATGTCAATTAGCTCATAGACTTGTCGATTAGGAGTTAAAAACATGTATTATTGTGGGCTGCTAATTTCCAGAATTAACAGAAGCATGGGATTTTTTGTTGATCAATGGAATTTGAAAGCTAACATGCTGGGAATTTGTTTGGATGCAAACTCCCATTTGCTGTTTGGATGCATATTTTTTGCAATGAGTTAATAATTTTACTGTCCAGCTGCTGCCATTTCGGTTGTTCTGAGGCAGTTCTCTCTTCGGTTATGACCGCTGAGAAGAGGAAGAAGCCTTCTTGCGATTGTATGTTCTTTCTACGCTGTATTAGAAAGTAATTTTCGCAGCATATTCATTGGTTAATAATACTTTTTGTTCGAATTTTGAAGCCTCACCTGTTAGCTGTACGTCCGATTGCTCTACCCGTTCGTCAACTGCATCCAACAACTACATCAAGTGCCTTGAGGTCTATTTTGAGGCAAGTGCCTTCGTTGAGTTCCTTCTGCACCTGTTTTTGCTTTCACTATTGATTGTCCAGATCTGTTTCCAAACCACTTTAATTCAATTTCTGTTATCTCAGTCCATTGCTAACTCTTTTTCCCCATCAAACTTAGCAAATGGTTTCTAGGATTCACTGGACTGATGCAATGGATGAAGCTTTCCTCACAGCCTACGTCAGTTTTCGGGAAAATAACGTTTGGGACAAGAGGAAGTCGCTAGAGACCAACTACGACATGTTGGCAGCCCATTTGGTGAGCAATCACATATTGACTGTGACTGGCCAGCAATTGCAGACCAGATTCTATCACATCAAGAAGAAATGGGACCTGTTCTGCAATCTGCGTGGAATTTCATCAAAAACAGAGACCGGGGTTGGGTGGAGTGAGGACAGCTACTGTTTCACTACTGATGATGAACATTGGGCCAACTTGGAGCAGGTATGGACTTGTTGCTTCCCTGACTTCTGTTAATTGAATTTCTTTGTACTTCAGATTTGAAAGGTGACTTCAGATTCTTTTTAAACTGCACTTGTTATTCTCACTTGTGTCTAATCCTTGATGCCTTTTCATCCTTGATTTTCCGGTGACTTAATCAATTTTTATATGCTGACTCCACTTGTTATTTCGTCTTATTTTCAATCCTCGAAGTCTTTTGATGAGTTAATCTTGTAGCTCAGTCATTACAATTACCTTATTAGATTGAATGATGAAAAGAACCTGTAATTTGGTGCACAACTACATATTCAATTCTGAATAGAACTAGATTTGGGTTATAAAGGGTTATAAGGGGAGGTTCCTGAATAATATAAGTATTTTCCTTGTTAAAATAACTTGAATATTTAGAGTTTTCAGTAAGCGCATGAAATTTTCACTTAAAAAAAATTACAGCTTCAATGAATTCGGATGACAACTCGGGTTACATCCCTTTTCATGAAACTCAAAAGTTAAACAATTCATTTGTATGGGTTATATTGGAAGTAAGATGTAATAGTAGCAAATCAAGGCAGCATTAGTGAGTAAATTTATAAATCTGGGTTCTTGTTTCCATGATATGATTTACTTGAAGTTGGATTATCCTTCGCTTAGTTGACCATTCTTTTCTGGGCAGACGGATTAACTGGATTAACTTTGATTGGATTATTTGACTGCAAAATGTGAAAATTGCTCGGCTTAGCTGCTGGTGATTTGTCATTCACAACTCTTTGTTTAATATACAGAAATATTAGCTATCGACAAAGTTTTGGATCCTGGATTTAGCTATCGACATAGTTAATTGAATTAGCATTTTCCTTGTTAAAATAACTCGAATCTTATAATATTTTCCTTGTACACTATCAATTCCTGTGTGCTGACTTCATATTTGCATTTCACCAGACCAATGCCTCGTACGTTGACTTCAAAAAAGAGAATTCATGCTACTGGTACGATCGGTTGACACCGCTACTGCTTGGAAGACATGCCACAGGCAGCCGTGCCCAGTCTGCAAGCGAGGTAGTTCCATCGGAACCGCCTCGCCGAGAACGGCCCAACACTGCTGCTAAAAATCGGAAGGGAAAAGGTCAAGCCTCTAGTTCGAGGGTGCCTACTCCGGTGAACGTACCAGCAGTTGAGGATGACGACGACGTCTACTATGTTCCCCCAGTTCCTAGTGCAGTTGGAGGAAAACGGTCAGCCTCAAGCTTAGGAACCAGTGGTGAACCTGAAGGGAGTAGAGGTTCAAAATCGACACGGTCATCTACTGGTCTTGAGGATGCTATAAGTAAGATCGGGAATTACACCGACTTCGTTCTTGAGGACAGACGGAGTAGGTCGGAGTTCGACTCCCTCTACGGCATAATGCAGTGCCAGGATGTGATCACCTCAATGGAAATTCCGGACGAGTGGAGACTTGAAGCTAACTGTCACTATGCCAAATATGAGAACGGGGGTGAAAGGATTATTTTTCTTAGAGCTTCTGCAGCCGATCGCTACGGCTACATCCTCAAGTTGATGAAGGCAAAAGGCTTGGCCTAAGAACACTTTATGTGGCATGCCAATTATGTGGAATGTTTGTACTATTAAAGTACGTTGTGGATGATTGTACTTGTATAACGTGGTTGTTTGTGGATTACTTGTCCATATAATATTAGAGATATTTATTAACTTCTTGTGAAGGAATGTTTATTCATGCCAGAGGATTATGTTGCAGGGAAAATACAGCCTTGCCTTTTCTTTTCTGGAATTTTCCTGGTTGAGTTCACACTCTTATTGAGATTTCTGAATGCTATTCTTACTAGTTCAGTAAATTTGCTGTCATTGTCAATTCTAAATGCTGCATGGTACATTTCATGAAAAATTCTGAATGAAGCTGCAGAAATAGAGGACCTGCAGAGATGTGTTTCTTTGCTTCCGGTGGTTTCAATTTTCCCAAGTTTTTCATTGTTGGTGTGCAATTCATTGGAGATGCAATTATTGTTTGGAGATGCATGGATATTGTTACTGTTTTGGTGCTCTGTAGCTATCTTTCACTTATGGTCTTCCACACAGCAGGGAAGCAGGGAGTCAAGTAAAAGTATTACTATTGCCTTATCTTGATGATTTTGAGTCTGTGTAATTGGACAATTGGTTATTATATTATATGGTATCATCAGCCCTTTGTTGGTATGTCGGTCTAGTTTCAAAAGTTGCCAAGGAAATTTTTAATGAGCCTAGGAGGGAATACGTTGCAATCTCAAGGTTGTGGTACTTCTTTTCTTTTCTTTTCTGAACATCCATTCACACAAGCATTGGAAAGCAGGATGCTGCATTCTGGAGAATTTTAGCTTCTCACACCTTCAAATCTCCTTGCAGTCCCTCGAAATTTTTGGATTGCTAGAGGAACTTGAACGTGGAGAAAAAGGTATTGGAGATGGAACTGTGAGCTATGGAATGGATGACGGAGAAAAAGATATTTACATGCGTTCTTGGACTGGCATATGGTCCTCACAATGAAGACAGAGGACACAAAAAAGAGCATGCACCTTTTTTGTCCATTAACGCAAACTACCGTAACACCAATCCTGAAGAACAAATAGCTGACACGCCCTAGTACTGCAATTGCTGACAAGCACATGGGTTCTATAGCATTTGTGACTAGTTCTTTGAGATAATTTCAGAGAGCTCCCCTAACGTTTTATTTATTTTTTTACTTAGCTCCCCTAAGGTTTGAAAAATTACACTTACCTCCCTTGATTTGATAGTTTTAGTAACAAAATCTTAAAATAAATTGATTCGGTCAAATTTTTAAATGAATACCCTAAAATGACCTGCAGTAATGAGTTTTAATTTATTTTTCTGTACAATTATAAGATTATCTAGTATAATTATAAGGAAAATGTGTCAAAATTTTTATGTCTATACCTACTAGTATTTGATAAACAACAATAATATTAATAATAATTTATCATTATGATAGGATACTTTTGATGGTATTTATTATAGATTAAATTTATAAGATAGAAAAGAAGATGTTGAAATAATTCATTTAAAGTTTATGAATTTTTTGAGTAGTAGGATTTTGAAAAATTTAGATGTGATTTTGGACCATTTATTTTTTATTTATTGTTAATTTTGAGACTAAAAATAAAGATCAACAAAAACATATTGGATTATATATAATTAAACTCATCAAAAAAATTACTAGTTTGACATTTGGTTACAATAAAAAATAGAGGTAATAGTGGTGATTGTACAGTTTTATTGGTAAAAAAATTAAGAAAAGGAATAAAAAGAAAAAAATAAATTTAAATGGCATTCTAAATATAACAAGGAAATTTCATAAAAATATTTAAGGGTAGTATTGTCATTTTAAATGATAAGGGAGGTATGTGTAATTTTTAAAAGCTCGAGGGAGCTAAATGAAATTGTTTCTAAAAAACCTCAAGAGAGGTTTCTGCAATTATCCCTAGTTCTTTTAGATGGCCAATAAAAAAGTCTCTGTAAAGTTAACTTCTCCGTATGTTTCCACTATTTGCATTTTTTGTTCTGTGTCGTGTCCTCTGACGAGGGCCATAAATTGCGGAAATACATGTGCAATAAAGCATTCCAATTGCATGTCAAATATATCTCATGAAACGACAAAGTGAAAATTGTGGTGGAAGTTCTCTAAAAACTCCAATGCAGATCAGCGCATTTCCCACTGTTTCTTCACATTTAAGCAGTGCAATTCTCTATAAAAAGAACTGGCCTCTGCAATTCTCTTTTGAAAAACGAACGAAGAGGATAGAAGACAGAACGTCAAGACGAAGTGGCGGCCTTTTCTTAATTAACGTGGTAGCTGTGTGCACCTCGCCGTGTGGCAACCGGAAACTACGTGCGTGCCACTGGAAGCGAGGTAAATTGTAGATGAATGTTTTCAGTTATAAAATTGCAATCTAAATTCAATATCTTGCCATTATTTAGATCTTTTGTATGGTAGCCGTTTATACTCTCACTTAATGCATTGTACGAGTTATTGGTGAGTAATCGTTCATATTTTACCGCTTCAAAGTGATAATAAATATTTTGAGGTGTTACGAATTGAGTAACCTGGTCGGATGAGTTTTTTGATATAGTACGGACTGGACTTCGTTAGGCTTGGATTGTTGTTTTATAACCTCTCACGTAATGCATTTATACATTTATATTAATATACATAATATTAATTATACATTTATACATATGATTTACATTTATAGATATGTCTCGACATAGGATTCAGAAAGCCTTATAAAGGAAGTAAATTTTTACTTTTAAGCATGCAGATACACAGGTTGTAATGTGTTGTTCTAGCTTGAGTGTCTTTGAAAACAATAAATAAATAAATAACATTTTTTTAGGTGACGTATATGAAATAAAAAATAATTAAAACTTATATTTATGATATAAGTAAATAAAATTGTGTAAATAATCTATTTACTCAAAATGTATTGTTTGTCTTTTTAGTTGAATGAATTGAAAAAGTAACAGATATTTATAGGAATACATTCATATAATAACATTTATTTATAATTTATACATTTATTTATAGTAATAGATAATATAATACAATTATAATATATTTATAAGAGTTTTATATAAGTAAATAAATATATTTATTCATAAATATTTATAATTGTATTATAAATGCATAAATGTATATTTATATAAAAATATATTAATTATAAATCACAAATATATTAATTTATACATTTATATAATATTCATTTATAATTATATGTATTTATAATAATATACATTTATACATTTATAAATATATTAGTATTAAAAGTTATATTGCCAAATACGTGCTATAAAGTCATATTGCATAGTATTCTATTTAAAAGTCATATTGCTAATTTATACTCCATAAAGCTACTTTACGTAATTGGTTTGAGAGGATGATGAAGTCTCTAATGGGACATGTCTGACCAATTACATACTTAAATTTAAAGCCAATATTTGTCTAGATTCCCGACATTTAATTTATGTCCAATACGCAAGTGGTATTAACACATTTATGGAATTGGTTATACACATACGAACATGCTTATATAAACATATATACAGCTATATACATCCCTTATCATGGCCTGGAACAACCGCCGTGGTGCTAGAGGACGCAATGCGGACCGCATGAGGCAAGATGAGGAAGATGAGGCCTTACTTCTTATGAGTGCATCGTTAATGTTAATGCATCCGTCACTTGCACACGTGGATAATAATCAACCACTTCCACAACATGATGGTTCATTCACAGATAGGCGGTGGGTGGAACGCGTACTCTACGGTCATCATAGACGCTCAATAGACAACATGCGCATCACGACTGATAATTTCTTGCTACTGTCCAATATCCTTGTCGAGAGACAGTACGTTCCACACAATTACCAACAGCGCGTGCCCATACAGGAGGCGCTTGCTATGACTTTAATGTTGGTCAGCCACAAGCATATGCACCGTGTGTTGGGGACTATTTTTGATCGATCCATCGAGACGATTAATCGAAATATAAAAAAGGTGCTCCGAGGCCTGTGTCTATTTGCAGCTGAAATAATACGACCGGGTGACCAGACTGCAGTTCATCCACGAATTGCAAACTCAACTAATTTTTATCCGTGGTTCAAGGTAATGTGGAAAGAATACTGATTTTTGGCGACTCTGTAGTACGACGATTGTAGAAAGTTGATTATATATTTTTTACACATATTAGGATGCCGTGGGAGCGATGGATGGCACCCACATCTCAGCTTGTCCTCCGACAGGCGAGCAAATGGCATATACAAATCGGCACGGGTGGCAATCACAGAATGTTCTGGCAGTTTGTGACCATGACATGCGCTTCATCTATGTGTATGCTGGATGGGAGGGAAGTGCACACGATGCGTGAGTGTTGGAGTCAGCATTAGCATATCCGTCCGATTTTTCACTGCCGCAACCTGGTAAGTGATGGGTCCAATATTTCAAGTCAAGCATGTGCTATGCTTTATTACCACAACTCCTATTTTTTATCGCGTTTATTAATTAGAATAACTTTGTCAAATAGGCCAGTACTACTTAGTTGATACGGCATACAGGAATGCTCCTGGTTTCATGCCCCCGTATAAGAATGTGGGGTCCGAATCTCCGTCAAAGACCTTGTTCAATACTCGACATTCGCAACTTCGCAATGTCATTGAGCGCACATTCGGTGTGCTTAAGAAAAGATTCAAATGGTTAAAGGGTCCGGTAGATAATTTTTATATGAGCACTCAAATCAGTATAGTCATTGCTTGTTGTGCGTTGCACAACTTTTTAAGGATGCACCAACCAGAAGATGCCCATTTTCAACGGTTTGAATCAGAAGACGTGCACTTAAATGAAGAGCCAGAAATAGGCGGGCTAGTACCTCAGCCGTTCGCATTAAACGTGTCTCCTACAGAGCTGGCGGAATGGAAAGCTAAACGAGACTACATAGCGACTCAAATGTATGCAGCACGGGGACGACGCCGCCGTTAGGTGTTCATCGCATTAAGTAGGATTGTAATTGTCCCTAAAATATATTTTCCCATGTGTAGAATGTACTTAAAATGTCCTCGATTTCCAACTTCTAAATTAATCTGTACCGTTTGGGTATTAAGTATGCAATTGGTTTAGCGTAAACGTAGTATAAAATCAAAATTTTCGAAGTTAAAGTCAAAATTTTCGAAGTCAAAGTCAAAGTCAAAGTCAAAGTCACATGCTTAACTTCAATAATAAGCACCTGTCCAAACGCTAATTTACACGATTTACTTGCTATCCAAACGCCTATTTCATATTTACGCGATCTTAAAAAGTAACTTAAAAAATATTCCAAATAACTTACAATCCAAACAAACCCCTATTTTTTTTCTTTCTCTTTAATTTTACCTAGATTTGTTTGTAAATTTGAGTATATTACTGGGTTTTGTACAAAACTATGTAGGTTAAGAAAGTTAAAATCATAGCCTTGGGTTTCATGAAAAAAGTTAGAAGAAGACAAAAGAGATTGAAGGCGATGGCTACGAGCCGTTTGGTGGACTGAAAATACAACTAACCACCACATCCTATGGTGGTGAATGAAAGAACCATAAGATGATGGATGGCGGTGATGAGAGAGGAGAGGAAAGGTAAGATTTGTTGCTGTGTTCTTTCGCCTTGTAATGAAAGAATATCAATTGTACAAGAACATAATAATTGGCAGAGGAGGCATCCCAATGGAACGCTATTGGTGGTGGTGGGATGAGGTTTTTTACCTCTTGAATTAAGCAACTTTGTGTGAGAACGAGGTGCTGAATTAAAGTTGAAGAACAATTACTTAGCAGCAAGGATTTTGAATATTGGTGAATTAGTGATGACGTGACAAATTGTGTTTCACTCGGTTTAGGGTGGGGGCGTTGATCGTGTCTTCATAAGTTTTTGGTGTATTGGTCCTTTACATTTTTGCAGACATTGAAGTGAGTTACCAGATTTGCCCCTTACATATTAATCATGTGATTTGCACCTGACTTATTCCGGCCAAAATTTGATCAGAAAGGTGATAGGGGACGGAAAGTAAGCACTTTTTATTTGTTAGGAACTAAAATCGTTCATTTTGATTTTGAGGGATTAAATTTTCACATCAGCGATATGTGGGAGATGACTGGTGTAGTTCTCCCTTAAATATATATATCATATTAAGTAATAAGTGAATAATTCGTCACTTGTTTTTTAGAGCAAATTTTGTCTGGAAAATTTGTGCCACTTGCTTAATTTAAATGTTTAATTTTTGGTCATCAAACGCTTCTAAACATATTAAAATCTAAATTTATAAAGTTTAAGTGTTGAATCGGATTATCAAACAGGACTTAAATATTGATCTTCACTCCATGATTAAATAGTGTCACCATCGCACCACCCAAAACTTGAGTTTTGGTTATATTTGACCACTTTGACTTAAGTTAAAAAAGGAAATAAACATCTATTCTTCGACGAATTTTACTAACTAGCAATTAAAGACGGACCAAATAAAAGAAAGGGCAAAATATCTTACCAGCCATTAACTATAACCTGCATGAATTTTTGATCATCAAACTAGTTTTCGTTTCAAGTCGGCCACTCAATTAACTAATTAGTATGCTTGTGCTCATTTCATCTACTTTTCCTCTTAATTTACAAAATAAACCCAACACGTGCAACTCATTTGTCAAAACCTAAAGCTAAATATATCCACTAAATTTCTTGATCCGAAAGCAAAAAACTTTGGTAGGCATTAAACTATTCCACTTGTACACCTTTGGCCACTCAAATATTTTTTTTTGTTTCAATTTAGTCACTAAACTCTTAAATCAGTATGCTAGTGGTCACTTCCTCAAATGTTGCTGTTAATGCTAATGGAATAAGTTCTATGTGCATTTCACGTGTCAGAAAATAAGATCAATTCTTTAGGTTTTTCTCTCATCTAGAGTTTTAGATTTTTCAATTAACAAAAAATTAAATTTAGAATATATAAGAGCTCCTTTAATAGATTCCAATTTTTAACGTTTGACAAAAAAAATTATATGCTCAAGTTCTTTGCAAATTAATTCTAAGAACCCTGAAACTAAATGAAACTAGTAGATCTAATGACAAAATTTGAATGGTTGGGCAAAAAAAAAAAGACAAAATTTGAATGAAAAATCGTTAAAAATATATTATTTGTGTAGTTCAATGGCTATTTAAGATTTTTTTATCATTTATTTGGATGACTTTACCTATCATCTTTTTTGCATGTACAATACACACGTAACTTATTCCGTTAGTGTTAACAACGAATTTGGTCGGATTGGCTACTAACATACACATTTGTGAGTTGAGTGGCAATTTTCAATCAAAAAATAATTGAGCGGTTAAAAGTGTATGCATAGAACAATTTAGTGACCGTTGAATTTTGAAATAAAATAATATTTATCCTTAGGTTTTGAAATGTGAGTTGCACATGTTAAATTTACTTTTGTAAATTAAAAGCAAAATATGATTTTGACTTGTGAGTTGTGTGTGTTAAGTTTAATTTGTAAATTAAAAGTAAATTTGATGAAATGGCCATGGGTATACGGATTAATCGATTAGTTGGTTACTGAATTAGGATGAAAAATAGGTTGATGGTAAAAAATAGACGTGGAAAATAGTTCAATGGCCGCGAGATACTTTACCGAAAAGAAAAGAAAAGAAAAGTTGGGGTACTCGGATACAAATCAGAGGGATTTGTTTCATCCTCCTGGGAGCAGATTGTCGATTGTGTGATTCTTCTTCTCCAACAAAGCAGCCATTGCTACAACATATATGCTAGTCTTGTATTCACTGGCGCTGGCAATGGCCTCAGAGTCGGTCATTTCTGCCAAGGCCGGCGGGTGAACTACCCGAGAATTATTCCTCTCGAAAAATTTCAAGAAACAGACTTTCTTTTACCCTTTCATCTGCTCCACAATATCTCAACTGGAAAATTTAAGGATACAGATAAGCAGTGTAATGGGATTATTTTGGAGCCTGATTGACATGAGTGTGGATTTGAACGGGGGATTACATGCTGTAATCAAAGGTATTAAGCTCCCTATCCTTTCATCAGTCAACACAGCTTTATTTCAAATACTTACTAGTCTTCTACCAAAAAAAAAAACGAAATTTATCTGTCTTGTTAATGCAACCCCTAATTTTTGGATGCATGGACTTTGATAAATAGAGAGTATTGGTCCTATTGGATGCTATGCATCGCGGTTGATGGCTGGTAGTATGCGTGAAAAATTACAGACACCAATTGTTCGACTAAATGCCTGAGATGTACAATAACTGGAGATGTCAACAACGAGTCTTATTCAATAGGTAAATTCCTGGCATTGGCTGTAAGTCTTATTGTTTTGTTGATATTCTTTTTTATTTTGGTTATGTATGAGTTTGTTCCATAGGTTCTGGAGTCTATAATGAATTTTGAGCTTCTCTAGTAGTAATACATAGACCATCCTACTCTAAGGTAACTTTTATAATTGACTGTATACTTAATCCCTGTACAGGTTATCGATTGTGATGAACAGGGTCGAAACTTGCATTTTAAAGAACTATTGAATTCCTCAATCCAATTTTACAGTTGACTGCTTATTTTCTTCCCAGTGCTTTCTATTTGGCAAAATGAAGAAAGGAAAACATTTCGAGCACTCCAAACATTTAGTATCAGAACAACAGAAAACAGAACAAGAGGAACAAAAGAATATATGCATATATACACAAATCAACCATACCAAAAAATGAGAAGCATTTTATCAGACAACTCTTGGCTTGGAAGAGGATGTCAGATTAAAAACTTAGACAACATAATCCCTCCTGATTCTACAATCAATTACACTCCATCATACTCCAAAATTCAGACAATCCTTTAATGATTTTTTTTACTTGTAAATTTTCCTCTGAAAAAATGGTGTTGTTCTGAGAGAGAGAGAGAGAGGGAGGGAGGGAGGGAGGGGGGGACGGAGATTTTTTTTTTCTCTCAAAAGCAATGCCTTTTAAATATTGAGGAATGATAAAATAATGGATTTTTGGTAGTTGATTGGTGGGAAAAGAGATGGAGGAAAATTTCTTAGAGATGGAACAAAAACGCTGTCAAGTATGTTTTATTTCAGCCACCATTTATGGAGTTATTTTAGATATTTGGGTGGGATAAAAAGAGTATGACATCATGGGCACAAGGTGGATGCATTTTGGCTGTCGTTTTGGTCTTTGATGACTCTTTTGAATCCTGGCCGTGAAATGGTCTGAAATGGAAAGTTGTCGAATTGCAAGGCCCTGTAGTGGATCCTTTATGATAATAAGGTCAGCTTTTCACCAACTTTACTTCCTTACCATATAAACAGCAGAACAGAACTAAGAAAAAAAATAGCCTTGCTTTGCATTACCGGCTTTTGACTTCTTTTTGCCGATTTTCAAGAAGTTCACTTGCATCCCTTCTCCATTCTCCAGTGAATTAAGATGGCAAACCCACAAGCAAGAGCCAACCTGGCCACACAAGCTCAGAGCCAGAGGAATTTGAAGTTTTGCAAGGTCTTTGATGCTAACAAGTACTTCAACAAACTGGTAAATTTTTCTTTCAGATTTATTTGTTCTTTTTTGGGATTTATGGTGATGTGAATCTTAGTATAGGCATGATTTGGTTTATCACAACATTCTTTTTGTACTTTTTGGCTTAAATTTTCTTTCAAATATATGGGCAGTCGTGTAGTTTGAGTTTTATGGCTTCAGATTACAGAATTTGATGAATTATTATGGTAATCTTAGTAATTTTTGTCTCATAACCCCAAATGGGATGTTTTCAGTATCATGGAAGAACAGGAGGAACGAGATGAATATTAGGATTCCTAGAAAACCTAATTCTGGAAATTCTGAATAAAATCTTTCTTATTTGTACTACTGTCCATTTAATACACACTGGAATTATTTTGGTACTAGTAGGAAGGTTGCTAGAACCAGTAACAATGGTTGTATTTGGCAAATGGCAAATTTGGCACCCAGCTGTAACTTTTCAAAACAAAAATAAAATTGAACTTTGTAGGCTTGAAAAAAATATGAAATTTATTGCAGGATCCTTCATCATAAATAGATTCTAGAGTAGTGAAATCCTGATATTGAATTACAAGTTTGATTTTGGGAATGTAGTAACTTGAAAAGTATAATGGAAAATCACATAAATAACCTGAAGAGCAAGTGAGGAATGATGTCATGCATTGACATTTCCATATTAATTCTGGATTCGAACACAAAAGAGCCTTAAGGCATTGGAGCAGTGATAACCTTATAGCTAGGATAGGTTGACAGTCCATGAGTGGGATTGGAAGAGGTGCCTAAAGGAAAAGTTTATGTTCTTAATTCTGAAACTACTTCGCTTCCTTATGTATAAAATTTAAAAGCTAATTTGGTGTACTTGATAGAGTAAATACTGCCACAATCTTTTCTTATGAAAATCAATTACCATTTATTAGTTTCAGATATGTAGTGCTTTCTTTCTTTGTTTGGTAGCATGAATTTCATGAAGTGCTTACATTATGCGTTACCAACATTAAAATTTCGTCACTAATTTCTCTGAATAAGAATTTAGTAATCTGGACGTGGATTTAGCACTCAGTTTTTTCTGTAAGCAGCAAGATGATGTCAACAAAACAGATATTGGGTCACGTTTGGATAGTTATTTGTTCTATATATGACACATTTCTGAATAGTGTATATTTGTCTTCTTTTTGACTATGTTGCATGTTTTCTTAATAGCATATTCCCTCAGCCTATGCTTCATATATGCGAGGAAATTTGCCAGATAGAGCAGTGCTCAGGGATTGCGATGGGAACATGTGGGCTGTGGAACTTGCTAAAGTTGGAAGTGAGTGGTTTTTCCAAGAGGGCTGGGCCAAGGTGGTTCAAGATAATTTGATTGAACATCAAGACTTTCTTGTTTTCCTATTTGATGGTGAGAAAGTTTTTGATTTCACAATCATTGGAAACAATTTATTGGAAAAGGAGGGAGTTGGTAGTTTGAAGTTTCAGTTGGAGGTGGAAAAAGGAAACGGGAATGGAGAGAAGGCACAGGAACTCAATGATATGAATGGAGACAATCTGATTGAGGAGAAAGAACAACCACTCAATGGTGTGAAAAGAGACTTTCAGAAGTTAACAAGTCCTACCAGTGGCTCAAGGAAATACAGAAGTGAAAAGAATGGTAAGGTTATGATGGTGTTGTTTCATTGTTCAGAATGCTTTTTCCTTGCATGTGGTTTTCTGTATGTTTTTTATGCAGATACTAATGTAAATGCTTCATTTGTAGGGCAAGAAGGCGCTTCAGCTAGTGATGGGATAAAAAAGAAGGCCAGACATGACTTGTATGGTGCAAGCATTTTCAGATCAGGAGAGCATGCCCTGCCTGAGAATCCTTATTTTGTCACAAGGATTAGGACAAAGAGACAGAATGCTTTGGTACGATAATTTGCAATGTCCTTATTGATATCCCTTGTAGAATTTATCTGTATAATGCATTTAAGTTTTTATCTATTATTTGTACCTGCTTGATTTTAGTTACTAATTTGTATTCTTCTTATACTCGTCGTTGTGCAAAATGCCTTATATATATATATATATATATATATATATATAATTGTTGTGCAAGGAGGATGATTCTTCTCCTACTGGTTTGGTGATGCTCTTGCAGAACTACTACTACCTGTGACAGTTGATTACATGGATAGTGCTATCTTCATGTTTGACCGTGTAACATCAATGTGAATAATTAAAGCTCTTTAGAACGACATCAAACACACAACTTTTGGTTCCAATATGGGGAGATGGAGAGGATCAAATAGGAGTAACCATTGTACATTTTCTTATCTGATAGAGCATTGATCGGTTCCTTAATCTTGGCATTTGTATTCTCTCTGTGTATGGCCATGAAATCAGAAGCTAGATTTCCCTTCACCCAGGGAAAGGATAGTAAGTTCAGGTTCAGTTTAGTTTTCTATGGTGAGCACTGTTGGGTTATTTTTTATCATTTATGATGCATATCTGGATGAAAAGATGTGTTAATTCCAAGGGTTCGTTCTTCTTCTACGGATAGACAGATACCTTTTGGATTACTTATCACCAAACTCCCCAGATTGCAACAGCAATGGAAAAGGGATATTCTTTTGGACTTATGGAGGTCTTTGTTCCACATTTCATTTTATAATGCGCATGTTCATATGTGGTATACATCTATTTCATTCCATTCCTCTTTGTTTTATCTTAGCTGTGAAATTCTGTTGATTATTATAATTATAATAAATGATTGCTCGCTGTTAATGAGAAAGCTTTTTATAAACCAATGCAGTTCATTCCAATTGATGTGATTAAGGATTTCAGACTTGATCTTCCCGAAAATATGACTCTACGTGACCCACTTGGGAGGACTTGGCCTGCATATCTTAGGACTTGGAAGGATGGCCGAGCATATTACTCAGGTGGATGGGACAACCTTTGCAAGGTTAACTCTATTGATGAGGAGGATGATTGTGTGTGTGAATTTGTGCCTGGACGAGGTCAGGAGAAACCTGTGATGCAGATCCAGATTATCCGGCAGAAGAATGCTCCTGAAACCTGCGACTAATCGTGTGTGATGAATAGAACGTTTAATAGAATTTGGTTTAACCAGCCTGAAATTAAAAACATTTTCAATTTGTCGTCTTGATGTTATAAACTTTGAGGTGTTCTTTTATCTGAATTAGAAGACGTTTTCGAAGTAGCAAGTTTTTTTATGTACTTGGTAGCATTTCCCCCGCTGATTTGCCATATAGTATTCTCAATTTGTGTCTAGTCCTGAACATGCAATTCATAGAAAAGTTCCAAAACTAGCAATGCTTGGGGAAAAAGATGGGGTTTTGCTGGCTCTTTATTGTCCAGGAAAGAAAATTAACAAGGAGATATTGTCCTTTGCACTAAACAAACCACTAGGCATTACATAATTTGTCAAGATCTTCAGAGGATTTTTGCTTAATGTCAGTTGACAATCTGCTGCTTTGGTTTTCTGCACTCTGATAAAGCATATGTGAAGAAACAAACAGTTATCCCTATTGTCTCCTGCAGTACAAAACGGAGAAAAATGGTGAACTACCCACCAAGTCCTTTGTTTGCGAGTGCGCTGGGGGGGAGGGCTGGGGGTGTGTTGAAATTTCTATGACGACTTATCTCACAAAGTGGGAGAGTAATTGTAAAGGTGTTATACCCTTCAGTGGTCAGCCTTTGTTCTCCCAGAGAAATGCAGAAGCTTGAGTCTAATTAAAGACTATATGAAGGGGAAGGGGGGATGAGGGGGTGTGGAGTGTGACTAGAATTTTTCTTGGATGAGTTATCTCACAGCGTAGGAGGGTAATTGTATGATAAAAGGAGTTGTAGCATTAAGTAGTCATCCTTTGTTTTTCCCAAAGAAATGCAGAAGCCTGAGTAAACTTAAAGACTAGAGAATTGTGAACAGGCATTGTTGGGTGGATCAATTGGTTCCTGTGAAAAGATCCGAGATATCCTTTCAAGTTCTTAATTCGACATATTACTTTTGTGCTCTTTGACATGTTCCCTAGATTTATTCTATATTATCTGCCTCTCTTGCTACTGTGCTCTCTGGACTAGTATCACCATAATAAATGACTGGTTTCTTGATTTATTAATTGCTCGTTAGACTCCCTTTTCTCCAATCAACTCAGTATGATTTGACTAAGGATCCATAAATGATCTTCCCCAAAATAAGCTCCTAAAAATGAACTAGGAGTACGACTTGGCTTTCAACTCTTTACCACTTTGAAGGATGGCCAAGAATTTTAAAGAGGAGGGGATAGTTCGTGCAAAGTAAACTTTGTTGACAAGGTGTGATGGAGAAACCTGTAATTGATATTTAGACTGTTCGATGCCAATGCTCTGTGCTGCAGAGCTAAAGGCATATGATGAATTGATAGCTGGAAAATAGTTGGTTTAAAACCAGCCATGTATGGTTTCGCAGATCCATATTTTGCATTATTTATTCTAATTCTGTGACAGGTGGTCATTTATCTAATCATTATCTTGACAGAGGATCATATTCTCCATTCAAGAATCTGGATTTCCCTAATAAAGTCCTCCGCTTATGGTATTCCATGGTTAAATATTCAACATCTGGAGCTCATTCACAAGGTGGAATTCAGAGAAAAAAGCTCCAAAACAAACCTTGAACTAGATAGAGGGTCTGCCTGCTATATTAGATACAACCCCAGAAGGAGTGCAAATACCACACTGACAAGGAGAATGATGACCTTCACCAGAAATAATTACAAACCATTATCTAAATGATTAATATGATTAAGAAAAATTTTAGCTGATTCCTTTGAAGGTTGAAAGATCACCTCCAGCTTTGTTTTTCTGCAACCTGATAAAGCCATCAGAAAGTGAGAAACTTCTTGGGATTGTCTCCTGCAGTAAAAAGGAAGTTGTTTGAGGAGGTCTCCTGAAGGAAGAAAGCCTCAAATTTTAAGCAAATAGTGACATTACGAAATGAGAACTATATATTATCTTTATTGGTTTAAGTTGTAAACCATCCAAAGGATCTTTCATGGGCTAACACGTAAATTATGTTGGCTGCAAAGAATATATGATGTGACTAATGTGCTCATAAGCTATGACTGTTAGATAAATTACAAAATGGAGTGGAATTCAAAATTTGCTAACCTGAGAGCAAGGATAAACTCTAATGAATTTCAATCCTGTAATAACAGAAGAAGTTGAGAAAATTTAATTGGCTAAGACTTACTTCTTGGTACTATAGCAAACATTTTTAGCCCATCCTCCCTTGTATTTCCGTCAAAATGCAGTTGCCCCTGCATAGGTTCAAAATAACTACTCAACAATGATCAAATGGCTATATTTCATTTGTCCAAGTGAATGACACAGCAAGGCTAAATATTTACTTATGCAAATTTGCCTACAATTTTGCATGCTACAGTCACACTCGAGGACCACTTTCAACCAGAGTTGAAACAAAGAGATATATACCAGAGAAAATTTGATAAATGAGTCTGAGAAGCCAAGGGAATCTAGCTTTAATGCCTTTAAAGAAACACCCCCACTCTTGACATTTTTGTGTACTTTTGAACATGGAATGGATGTAATTGGACACCATATACACCGTCCATGAAAATAATCAGGAACATTGGGTTATCAACGTTTATATCTTCACAGCACAAACTCCTTAGCTTTAGTCCCTTTACCTCATCAGGTTTGAGGCTAAAGATTTTCTGGTATTGATCAGGTCGAGCTGGAGGGATGAAAACCCTGATTCCCATTTCTACATCTGATCTATTCTTAAAAACTGTAACCTTGGCCCCCATGGCTATTCATTAATTTTGCATACTATTTGCAATTAAGAGCTGGAGAAAATATGCAGGAAAAGAGCTGGAAATTGACAATGGCAAGAGCTGAAAAGAACAGCAACATAGAAATTATATTACTAGCTGCTAAACAAATGAGCAGAAACTTCCATGAAATTTAAAATACTCGAAGACTTCCAGATATTTGTCAGGTGCACAGGGGATTGTAATATCTTACTGCATTAAAAAAAATTGATTATCAGTATGATTTGTCCTATTTACAATTGTGCTCTTAGAAGAATCTTGTTCATCTTGTAGTTACCTTAAATGTACTTGCACATCACTTTCAGAACCCAATATAAGATGTACTTATGGACAAAATGTCAAAATTTCCTGCGTGGCAGAACCCCAGAATCTAGTCACTAGTCTAAGGCTTGTAGATCTATTTCATCCTGAAGCTTGTAACTGGCGAATGGGAATTTGGTCAAGCACATTGGAACAGCTTTGGGACTTGACATGGGTCTAGCTTAATTTTTTCTCTCAGATGCGGTAAGAATCTGTATGATCTTTATTTTGTTGTTTTCCAATGTATGTTTGCTTTTAGACAATCAGTGAATGTCTGAATCCTCTCAACGAGCATTCCTTGTATATCAGCCTACATTCCACTTTCTTCTTCCAAACTGTATATGCTGCCATAGAGAGACTCAATACTTCAATCTCATGTTCTCCTGATAAGCTTCTAGCTAATAAGCAAAACCAGCGGTTGTCGGGGTAAAAGGACAACTTTAAAACGTCGTCTAGATAATTGAGGGTCATACTTAAATCAAGCAACACATTAATAGAGCTGGTTTGGATGGTTACTTAATTGAAAAAAAATTATTTACTTGCATCATCACTACATTTTCCAACCATCTTTTTATTTCACATATATCACATAGAAAAAAGTGCTATAGTAATTTTTTTAAAAAATATTATTCCATATAATCTACTATCCAAACACACTCAATGTGATTTAAAGTAACAAAAGACTCAGAATATCTGCATGGATATTCAGTGAAACTTCAATAGAGCTCCTGAATTTTTATTTCTGGAAATAAAGGCCATTATTATTCATCTCCTACCAAACAGTGTTAAAAAAATGACTAGTATATGTGTAAACGTAAATCGGGATCAAAATCTAAACTTAAATCTTGGGACGTATTCAATGATGGCATTTGTGTATTTTGTCATGCTGCTGCTGAGAGCTTTGGACATTTGCTTTTAACTAGTCCCTGTCAGTTGACAATTTGGAACAAAGTGTTGATCCGTAATGCTGTGTTTAGGGGATCTTGTCAATGGTCTGAGGAATTGCAATGGCTGTGTATGCATTTTATCCATAAAACTTTATCTGGAAAAGAAAAAGATTAGCATTGGAAGCAATACTACATACCACATCTGGAGAGCCAGGAATCCTTCGGAAAGTACAACATAAAATATAACCATTTAAGTTGATCTAGTAGTGTTGTTGGATCCTTCATAGTTGGCATGGGGTTTGGAATTGTAAAGCAGATTTGAATTTGAGTATAGCTTGACAGGTTGATAAAACCATTTTTGAGTAGTTGTTACTTCTTAGTCTTGTGTTTGTCTTTGCCGTTAAGAGGTTCTGATTTTGATTGATGTACGCATAGATAGTAGGATTTGCATTGAATATGCTGTTTGGCTATTTAAATGCAGGATTATAGCACAACAAATTTAACCGATAAAAAAACAAATAAATGGAACTTTGGTGCAATATTAGTTCAGCGTCTGATTTTCAGTACCTGGAAATAGTGGCCTTTTTTGGTTCATGAAGAGAGGTATTACCAAGAAATGAGGACATGAGACTTTAGTCCCCTAACAAACAGTGCCATTCAAGCATAGTTTATAGGTCCCTTATCTTGGTTTTTGTTACTTTCATGGGATTGCTTAACCAACTTTGAGTTACTGATGGGAAACAACTTACTGTGAGGATACTTTGAAAGAGGTCATGAAGAAGTCATTTCCGGAGATAACAAGGGTTGTTATTTCTGTTAGCTGAAAAATACAGGGCAAGTGGTGCAATGCCATCCTACATAAAGAGTTAGGCTTGAGAAAACTGCAAGGACTCAAGAAAAATTCAGAAATGGCTGAAGTTTCATGGATTTGCAAGCGAACAGTAGTGAGCACAAAGCCAGTTGAAGCAGGAAAATTCTGCCCTCTATCAGTTCTAGACCGCATTATGGAACACAATCATGTGCGCGTTGTGCTCTATTATCGGTGCCCCAAAGAGAGGAAGGCCGGGGAATCGATTAGAATGCTAAGAGAATCATTAGCTGAGTTGCTTTCTGCTTATCCCATCGTGACGGGACGGTTACTGAAGACAGCAGAAGGGCATTGGATGATCAAGTGTAATGATGCTGGTGTAAGAATGGTAGAGGCAAGAGCAAAAG